GCAACAATATTCTAGATGCCCATAGGCAACCTGTAAACAATCAAGTCTGAACCAGACAATCCAGAGATAGATACTGTAAGCAACAATATTCTAGATGCCCATAGGCAACCTGTAAATAATCAAGCCTGGACCAGACAATCCAGTGATAGATACTGTATGCAACAATATTCTAGATGCCCATAGGCAACCTGTAAACAATCAAGTCTGGACCAGACAATTCAGTGATAGATACTGTAAGCAACAATATTCTAGATGCCCATAGGCAACCTGTAAATAAACAAGTCTGGACCAGACAATCCAGTGATAGATACTGTAAGCAACAATATTCTAGATGCCCATAGGCAACCTGTAAATAAACAAGTCTGAACCAGACAATCCAGTGATAGATACTGTAAGCAACAATATTCTAGATGCCCACAGGCAACCTGTAAACAATCAAGTCTGAACCAGACAATCCAGTGATAGATATTGTATGCAACAATATTCTAGATGCCCATGGGGAGCTAGTCTGTCATACAGACCCTGAAACAAATATATCTAAGAAAGCCCATGCAAGTCTAGAATATGTGGCAAGTGTAGATTTCTACAGAAATGAAGAAAGTCTCAGGGCTCCTTTTCATTATATTTCTTTTTATTGTGGACTTTCCTTTTCTGTAAAATATGTTCATTTCAGAGACCAGTTGTTAGCCTGTAAATAATCAAGTCTGGACCAGACAATCTGGTGATCTGTGCGTCTAACCAACCGATCCAGTCCACCCGATCCATAAGGTGCCTGTTACGACAAGCAGCGATTGCCGGGGACCTTTTCTAATCCTATTACTCTAAATGGCCTGAGTGAATATTAAAACAATATCTGTGGACTTGAATGAAACTGAAGGATATGATGCACTTCAATAACTGATCAACGATGATCTTAAATATAAAAAAGTTTCACTTATCTGGACATCGTGTAAATTTTGGTGGACATTTTTATGAAGTTTGTGTGCTCTGAGTGATGATGCTTTACTTCCAAAAGATAACCAGGCCCCCATTTCTCGAAACAAACTTAAGTTTTTACTCAAATCTCAAACTGAGTTCACAATTTGGAACAGCTGAATTTTTAACTCAACTGCATTTTTTAAATAAAAAAGCCCAAACAACTAAAGTAATCTATCCACCAAACACAAATTATCTTCTATAGTTTGAGTTTTACCGATTTCAGTTCATTCTGTGAAATGCATTTTCCTGCGTTTTCTCAAATTTGAGTAAAACTCGAACTTAAGTCAAAACTCAGACTTAAGTTTGTTTCGAGAAATCGGGGCCCGATATATGGTTGTTATCCTCGACATGTTTGTTCAATATATCTTATGATAAATACTCATTATATAGAATTGTTTGCAAAGTGATTATTTTATCATTAATTAAGTAAAAGTAAAAGTTTTGCTCCATAAAGATACATATGATAGAAAAATGTACACATTAATAAAACGTTATCACGCCCTCTCTTATCTGACTTGTTTTCAAATAACAATTTAGAAGTTGAATTTGGTTTATTTATAGAATAATACTGGTTTGACGAGTTAAATATTCTCACAAAGCATTAAGACTGATGTACATAGTAAATTCGATTAAAATGTCTGCGCAAAATACAAAAATAGTTTTGACAGAAACTAACAAGTCCATTTAAACTCATAAGAGAGTGGTTAGGTTTTGTGATTCTTTTAGCAATAGTCTAGCAATATTCCAGCAATAACTATTAACCACTTATGATGCTATCCCACCACGCCCCCCTAGTGAGATGGAAGATGTAGAACCTGGAGAAGATCTAGACATGCTTCGTTAGAGTTACAGCATTACAGTAAGTATTGGGAGTAAGGAAAATACACTGACTGACTGACTGAGTTTAGTTTTACGCCACTTTTAGCAATATTCCAGCAATATCACGTCCGGGGACACCAGAAATGGGTCTTCGACGTGACGGGCAAACGCTTTAACCATTAGGCTACCCCACCGCCCCAAGGAAAATACAACTCAAGTGAGTGAGTTTAGTTTTATGCCGCTTTTAGCAATATTCCATCAATATCATGGCAGGGAACATCAGAAATGGGCTTCATATATTGTACCCATGTGTGGAATCGAACATGGGTCTTCAGTGTGACGAGCGAACGCTTTAACCAGTAGGCTACACCAACACCCATTCACCCCTCATCCAACAGCTCAGCTACTGTGAGACTAGTTACAAATGTTTACCCCATCATAAATCCCAGCATGGTATAAACAATACAGGCATGGAAATGGAAATTAGGTCACATCTGGGATCTGAACCCATGGCTACAGATTGTGGTCCTGATCAACAGTCAATGAGTCCAGAGTCCGTGATAGTGCATCAGGTACGACATGCTGTTGATGAATGAACAATACTGCTGAGTCAGCAACTGTCACCAAGGATAGACAGAGCAAATAACTTCACCTTATCTCCCATCCACTCCCTTCACTTTAACTTAGACTTGCACAAGTCTATTACTCAACAATTAAATCGTAATTTAAAGACTAAATACTAAGAACAGGCTGTCATTATGACATTTTGTTGTTGTTGTACTGTCTGTAAATATAGACTTCCTTGTTATACGGAATGACTAGACTATGGACTTGCTTATTTTATAGAATGACTAGACTATGGACCTTTCACTTCTTTGAGTGGTATATAGAAGTTGGTGTGATGAACAACGGGGAACGTACTATGGATAAACAACTTCTTTATTATTAATGTAAGCGACATTTTGGTATAGATGCTAACACTGTTGTCATAAAGAAATTGTAAATCCATAGAACTTCCATATGTTAGCACGGCTAACATAACCCAGACTTGGAGCACGGCTAACATAACCCAGACTTGGAGCAAGGCTAACATAACCCATACTTGGAGCAAGGCTAACATAACCCAGACTTGGAGCAAGGCTAACATAACCCATACTTGGAGCAAGGCTAACATAACCCAGACTTGGAGCAAGGCTAACATAACCCATACTTGGAGCAAGGCTAACATAACCCAGACTTGGAGCAAGGCTAACATAACCCAGACTTGGAGCAAGGCTAACATAACCCAGACTTGGAGCAAGGCTAACATAACCCAGACTTGGAGCAAGGCTAACATAACCCAGACTTGGAACATAACATAACAGACTTGGAGCAAGGCTAACATAACCCAGACTTGGAGCAAGGCTAACATAACCCAGACTTGGTGCAAGGCTAACATAACCCAGACTTGGAGCAAGGCTAACATAACCCAGACTTGGAGCAAGGCTAACATAACCTAACATAACAGACTTGGAGCAAGGCTAACATAACCCAGACTTGGAGCAAGGCTAACATAACCCAGACTTGGAGCAAGGCTAACATAACCTTGGAGACATGAACATAACCCAGACTTGACAAGGCTAACATAACCCAGACTTGGAGCAAGGCTAACATAACCCAGACTTGGAGCAAGGCTAACATAACCCAGACTTGGAGCAAGGCTAACATAACCCAGACTTGGAGCAAGGCTAACATAACCCAGACTTGGAGCAAGGCTAACATAACCCAGACTTGGAGCAAGGCTAACATAACCCAGACTTGGTGCAAGGCTAACATAACCCAGACTTGGAGCAAGGCTAACATAACCCAGACTTGGAGCAAGGCTAACATAACATACTTGGGAGCAAGGCTAACATAACCCAGACTTGGAGCAAGGCTAACATAACCCATACTTGGAGCAAGGCTAACATAACCCAGACTTGGAGCAAGGCTAACATAACCCAGACTTGGAGCAAGGCTAACATAACTCAGACTTGGAGCAAGGCTAACATAACCCAGACTTCCATGAAAGAAAGTGATTAAGAATCTATCGTATTTGTGATGTACAATAAAGGAAAGGCTGTTGACAACATAATTCTCACACATAACCCAGTCTTACAATAAAAGTATTGACTGGATATTAATCTGTCATACGTGGGTAGTAGAAATAGACACCACAACATATTTACAAGTAACCTAAATTAGCAATAAAGAAATGGACAGTTTCTTAATGTATCATCGTGACACTGGAATTTGTTTACATAACCTAGTCTTGCTATAAACTTCACATTCATGAAAGGACCAGGCTCACATAAACCTAGCCTTGCTCCAGGGCTGTACTGAATGCTGAGCCCATGTGAGTATAGTAATTCTATCCATTAAAGTGGCAAGTCTACATAAGCAGACAGTACATAATAATAATAATAATAAGTCATCTTCTATAGCGCACAGTCTCCAAACACCAAGTGATTGCTCGCGACGCTTAATCAGAATCTGATTCTTATTACCCTGGATAACCCAAGCTGCCTGTTAGGCGCTAGAAGGTTATAGTCACAAGACTTTATCCCACCGAGTACCCATTTTTCTGCTGCATCTAAGGACCCCAGTCTGTTTTTTTGGAAATTATCACTTAAACTATTAATTATTACCTAAGAGACTCGTGCAAGTCTAACATAAACCCTTCCAACACAAAACAAGAAATGACAGGCATTAACTTCCGTACTTGCAATGTATAGGGAAAGAGATGAAAAAACAACCATTCATTTACTGAAAACCAAATATTTCCTTTTAAAGGTCTGATGTACTGTCATAACAGCTGTAGTAAGATTAAAGTATAAAAACTTGTATGTACACAATCTAGACATTGATAGGACCTATGCAATCTTTTGCTACACAGCCAGACTGGTAATGGTTTTTTAAAATATATATATATTCCAGTCACTTGATCAGGTCAATTCACAGCATTATCTCCTACAACTCACATCACAGCAACCTACAGGAAACAAACAACCTAAGAAAGCCCAAGTCTTATCTCATCTTCATAACAGTGAACAAGAACCAACACTGCACAAGCTTGTCATAGAGTGAAACTGGCGTGAAATGTACGACAAACACTGCCTGGTCTTTATCAGACTCACATTGGGAGAGTGAAATTAACATTCAGTGAACAAGAAACCACCACCCACCTTGACCCAGCAGCCTCCTCCATCGAGAGTACATCCATTGCTTACACCTGAATCATGTGACCGGTCCTTGAATACGCTACGCTATCAAGAGTTCAGCTCAGGTGAGTAATGGATGTAGCGACAGGTGTGCATGTCGTTAGTGACAGGTAAGTGTTGAGGGATGGCTGTCAATCACCCAAGGAACACTGGGTCAACCACATAACTGTATTACCATGAGGAGGGACTGGAGGAACAGCTTGACTAGCTTAGGTCTACATTTCACACTGGTGGTTTTCTCAGTGCCAGTGTTGTTGCTAGCTGCCGAGCAGGCAACGTCAAGTGCTATTCAAGGGGCTCTCTACTTGTGTAGAATTACTAAGTGTTACACTGTACTTTGGCTCGAGCATTCATCATGTTCACAAACTAATTAATTTACAATCCAAGAAGCTGGTTTCAGTTTGCACGCTTCATTTTGTCTGACCTTTCTTCTATTTCATACTACTCAAAAGAAATTAAGGATCACCCAATTCTTTCATAATCTATCACTGTGTAAGAACAAACTTGACTTATATGAGAGGATAGGGTTGTCCTTAACTTTTTTTTACCAGTATGGGGAGCATCATTAAGAGTACCCTACAGACAATGAGAGGTATACACAGTCACGGATGCAGTGCAGTGGCATCTCATACACACATATAATGAAGTGAGTGAGTGAGTTTAGTTTTATGCCGCTTTTAGCAACATTCCTGCAACATCACAGCAGGGGATACCAGAAATGAGCTTCACACATTGTACTCATGTGGGGAATCGAAACCGGTCTTTGGCTTGACTGGCAAACGCTTTAACCACTAGGCTACCCCACTGCCCCAGATTAGCTTTAAAACATAAAATTGCAACAAAACAAGTAAACATGTAATTACAAAAGAGCTATAATTTCTACAAATATTAATTTGCTTTTGAGTAAAAAAATAAGCCATGACAATTTGACAATGCTTGCAAAAAGCAAGCAATTGTTATCTGCAGAGACAACTGATAGTAAAGCTTGAAAAACTACATCTTCAGTATTCTTTTGAGTTGTTTCAATCAAGAATAATAAACATTACGGAGATAATCTGACATACTTCAGGGCTGTTGGGGTAGCCTACTGATTAAAGCATTCACCTGTTATGCCGAAGACACGAAGACACTGAAGAGTTCGATTCCCATTTCTGGTGTCCCCTGCCATGATATTGCTGGAATATTGCTAAAAGTGGTGTAAAGTCATACTCACTCACTCACTACAGTTCCATCTGAGACAAAAACACAGACACAAATAACCACATACACACTCACTCACTCACTACAGTTCCATCTGAGACAAAAACACAGACACACAGACACAAATAACCACATACTCACTCACTCACTCACTACAGTTCCATCTGAGACATAAACAGACACACAGACACAAATAAATAACCACATACTCACTCACTCACTCACTACAGTTCCATCTGAGACAAATACACAGGCACACAGACACAAATAACCACATACTCACTCACTCACTACAGTTCCATCTGAGACAAAACACAGGCACACAGACACAAATAACCACATACTCATGCCCCTCACACGCAGATCCACACGCATGCACTCAGAAACACACACAGAGAATTATTCTCATGTACTGAATCCATACTTAATCCTACCATATATTTGAACAGTTTCTCCAGCAAACAAGCCAGTCTGCATATGTCAACATTTGTCTAACATATTGTACTTTGCAGCTATCTGCAGTGTGGCACACATATGGTCGCATTCACAATGATATATTCATGAAAAACTAATCTAAGTCTGCCTCATAACTGACATTTTTATTTCTTGTCTCGCTCGAGAATAAATTCTTACACCATTGTATGCTGTTGTGTAACTATAATGGTGTCAAGGTTACCTGTACTTGGTCATGAACTAAACCCAAACAGTGAGATGGCAAATTTACATAATCATAAATTTTCAATCTGTTTTTATCATTGTTAAATCTGAGAATTATATATTATGCTCCTGATTTCCAAAATATAAATTTGGACAGATGTGTTACTTGTGAACTAAGTAGGTGAAACATGTTGACAAAAATTTGTCTGTTATAAACTTGAACAGATGCTTATCTTGTGATCTATGTAGGTCAAAAATATTGAAATGAAATTAGTCCTATAAATCAAGTGAGTGAAAAACTTGCATTTCTATCCCTGTTCAGAGCTCCAGATAAAATTTAGCTCATGTGGGTACTGTACCAACTGTATTTTTGGGGAGTGGGTATTATGAATGTTGAGTGGGTATTTCATTTTCCGTTACCCACTGCTTTCAAATATGTGCGTATTTCAGTCACTTTACTCACCTAAGTATTATGTAATTGAGCAAGTTTACTAAGCAGGTATGTTCTGCCTTATGTCATACCTAATCAAAACCAACTTAAATATGATGGAAATTACTTCATAAAAAATCACTCATCCTATACTGACAGTACAACACTTGTCCTACACTAACAGTACAACTTGATAGCAATCGATTCTGTACGCATTTGTTTTAAACTTTTTGCGTATCTAACATTTTAAATGCGTAATTGGTACGCAACAATTATTTTTAAATGCGTAATTCTATGCGTATTTTACCCGGATACGCAGCTTATCTGGGCCTCTGCCTGTTATTGTGATGGATTAGTAGCTACACTGAAACGTTCCACTCACTGTAATAAGGGGGTGGTAGGATAGCATAGTGATTAATACGTTCGCTCGTCACGTTGAAGACCCGGGTTCAATTCCCCACATGGGTACAATGTGTGAAGCCCATTTCTGGAGTCCCCCACTGTGATATTGCTTGACTATTGCTAAAATGGCATAAAACTTAACTCACTCACTGTAATAAAGAGGTTGTTTAAATCAATATTATTCCTTGTTCATCATAGCAACTTTTCTTTCAGTGCCATTTTGAAAAATGAGATTCTATTTAAAATCACTGAAGTCCATATCATGGATATTTCTGTTGGCTGATTTGAGGATTCTATACATTTATTAACAAAAAAGGGAATTACCTGTCGTATGCACAATGATATGATTCTCTTAAACAGATTGAATTCAAACAATAAAAGGTTATCTCTATAGTGTTTTTCATTTGGGTTAGTATTTCTGATTACTAGGCTTCCTGTATTATGTGTGAGTGGATGGGGGAGTGAGAGAAAGAGGGATGTGAGTGCATGGTTGAGTAGCTTTAAGTAGCTGTGAGTGAATGAATCAAAGAGTGAATGAGCGATTCCATGAATGAGTGAGTGTATTAGTGGATGATTAAAGTGAGTCCATGAGTGGAGTGAGTGAGTGAGTGGGGTTAAATATGGAGTGAGCAAGAGGTTGAGTGAGTGAGTGAGTGATTGAGTGAGTGAGTGAGTCATTGAGTGAGTAAGTGAGTGGGGTTAAGTATGGAGTGGTTGAGTGAGTGGTTGAGTGAGTGAGTCTTTGAGTGGTTGAGTGAGTGAGTCTTTGAGTGAGTGAGTCTTTGAGTGGTTGAGTGAGTGAGTCGGGTTAAGTATGGAGTTGTTGAGTGAGTGGTTGAGCGGTTGAGTGAGCGAGAGAGCGAGCAGGAGTGCGTGGTTATTTAGAGGGTGACTGAGCATGGTCCATGATTTTAGCAGTATTTTCAAGAAGGAACCTGGAGGAAAATGGCCAATGGTGACATTGTTCGCGATACTTAATCCATTTCTATTACACTAATTAACCATGTAATTAATTACAACGCCTCACAGTCAGTTAAATCTAATCTCAATACTACTGCATAGTGCCAGTAGCGATTCCAAATAGACTCACCAATCAAACAAATAGTTATTGACATTATAGTGGAAAGACTGCTTTCACAGAACCATGGTCAAATTTACTACAATGGAAAATATTTTCAGTAACCATGGCATTGCAATACATATGAAAGGTACAATACAGGGCTGTAAGGATATGGTTTGATTCATTATTTCACGTGATATCATTTGGGCGTAGCGCAGTTGAAACTAAAGGGCAGATAATAACCGGTGATTGAAAGGGCAGATAATTACAGGTGAATAGTCACATGTTCCAAAGTTTGTCTCGTGGCGACATGAATGGTCGTCAGGCATCAAGTTCGTATGTTCGTCTGTTTTCAAGAGCGTATATTAAATGGTAAGACAAAATATTAACATGAATCGATATGTTTGCAATGATTGGTAATTATATAAGTTATTGTACGTGAAGATATGAAAACTATGCAGTCCGTAATAACTTATGACTGTAAGTACTGTCATAAACTTTTAACATTTCTGCTGTATGTGTTTATTGTTACAGTCAATCTCAACTTCTAAGAATAAAGATGTCACATCGCTCTCTCATAATCATCATTCATTCATTAGTTATAATAGGGCTACAGCAGTTAGGAGTGAGTGAGTGAGTGAGTGCTTTTTAGACACATATTTTCACAAGGTATCAACACCGGTTTATATAATCTTTACACCAATATATAAATGAAAATACGTTTATGTCAATTCTAAAATATCTACACACTGTTGACAGAAATATCAATCTGGACAAGATCTGCCTGATAAAAAAATTAGATCAAACATGTCGATATAATGACTGAAACAATCTGTCCCCTGGTCATCATAAAAACTCCTGAATCAATTTCTGTTTCAACCATTCAACCCTTTTGGCCATCTCAGACTGGCCTTTATTCATCATTGTCTTCTCATAGTCTTCACAGAGCATGAAACCATAAATTATTATCCTCAGTGAGAAGTCACCCAACAATGATCAATAATTTAAAGCCATTTCTATTTGCCCTGAAGGTTGCCTTCAACATGCTCAGCTTGAGTGACTTCGTTTTGGCCGAGTGGACAAATCCTGCAGTGATGACCTCTAGTATTTCAGCTATCACGACTTGATGTGGGAAAAAGCTTCAAAGTGAAGTAGGTTTAGATGTTTGCCACTCAGGTGAAACCCACGTGGGAAGCATCGTGTTGAGAAACCAAGCAAAGTTCAGAGAACACTTGGATTCAAATCCACAATCAAAGGTTTGAGCCTAGTCCCACTCACTCACTCACTGTCCCTTAACCCGTAAATGTCCCGGTTAGAATTGATTTTCATTCAGTAACCCATAGTAGAGGCGACTAACAGGATCGGGTGGTCAGACTGGCTGACTTGGTTGACACATGTCATCGGTTCCCACTCGATCCAGACTTGATTATTTATAGACCGCTGCCTTATAGCTTGAAAATTGCTGAGTGTTGCATAAAACTAAACTCACT